GTAAAAAGGTTAATAATGCAGAAAAACGCAAGTAAAAAAGATGAGTTTTTAGCTGTAATCAATCAATATATATATAATATCTAATATAAATAAAAATAGGCGTGTGCCCATATATGTATGTCACTTTGCAATCACAACTATCCAACGCAGACCACCGATAAAAGTATGTCCGTTCACTTAGAGAAAGATGCTGTGTGCGCAGACTGCACTAAAACTAATCATAATTGCTAGAAGTTATTGACGATGCCAAGGACTTACGGTTAAACTTTGATCGGAAAAAAACTACAAACACACAACCAACTTTAATAGTGCGGCACTGGATTTACATCTGACGGCAAATTACCGGACTTCCATATTGCCTATTTTCTATATTGACGGTGTACCTTTCACTAAGTGAACGAAAAATAATAACCTCGTGTCTCATACCTACCCTAAAATGTTAACCAAGTATCCACATTAATATTATTTTTAATTAATTTACTTAGAAAGATTAAATAATTCTTAGAAATTGATTACTTAAAATTCGTTGCATGTGTCGAAGTTTTACTGGGGTAATTTTCTTGAAAGGTGTATCAGTTTCTATTAATTTATGAATTAAACTGAGTTGGTATAATAGAACACACCTAATAAAAACAATTATTAATCAATGGTTCTCTGTCAATGGATCGTAGGCATAGAAAGAATTTTCATCTATTGGCTTCGATGAGATTTTGTCTATGGATGAGATTTTAAAATGTATTTTTGTGGATTTTAAATTGATTCGAAGTTCAACAGTTAGTGTTAGTGGCTGTCGGTATTAGTATTAAATTAAGGAGATTTTTCGTACATAGCCATTTTAATAATAATCAAATATGAGGCTTGGAATTAATTATTACTAACAATAACAGTGTATACGATGGATTTTAACAGGAGGAAACGACGAACTTCATCAGTACTTCTTGAGTCAGATATATTGGATAGAAATAGAGGGAAAATGCAATTTCAGTGTTCAAGTTCATTTATTACTGATAAAGGCACTTCCGATAGAAAGATAAATGACGATTTAATTAGTAATTTAATACAAGATTCAGAAAAACGAGCGCTGTTGTTACGTCTGCTTACTCAAGGAAAGGAGACCATCAGTAAAAACAAAAAAGCCTTACAATTTGATGGAAATCCTGAAGAAAATTTCACGCCTAAGAAAGTAAAAAACAAACCTAGATTTGAGAGTCCTTCTGCTTTGTGGAAGCGAAGAGCAAAGGAAAAACAACAGGCCAGTGAAACTAGTTCTGTTTCTTCCGATCAACTTCCACCAATTGTTGCTTCTCCAACTGTTCCATTTGATAAGCTTCTAGATGGAGTCATAGGTTTTGTAGAATTGAAGTGTGGAGCTGAAAATAAATCTTTGGGAGCTAAGAATTTAATGATAGCCATGGGTGCAGAAGTAAGAGACACCTTTACTAAAGATGTGACACATGTTGTGTTTAAAGTAAGTATAAAAAATGAGAAAGCTACTAATGTTACTGTAGCTGACCATTCTTTAAAAGTTGGGTATTAATGGAAGATGTTTGTAATTATTACTATGCACTAATATAATTTTTAATTTTTAAAAATATTGGGTTTATTTTTAGGATGGTACTTTTAATACCTACTACAAAGCAAAACTTTTGAAAATTCATTTGGTGTCAGTCTTGTGGCTCGATGCTATAAAAACAACTGGAATAAGGGTTCCTGAGCAGAAATTTCCAGCTTTGGGATTTTCTTCCAGAGATCACAATCTTTCTAAAATTTGCCTTGTAAGTATCTTTTTGTTTAGATTTTATTTATTTATTAAACATTACTGTAGGCCTTTGGCAATTTATACACATTAGTATGCATGTGTGTGACATATTGTAATTCTTGTTTGCTAGGATTTTCAAAACGATTATGAAGAAATGATACAAGATGAGTTTGAAAAGACATTAGCTTTAAGTACTGAAATACTTTCTCAAAGTTTTAATTCAGACTTTGTTACTAAAAGGAAAAGCACTTTTAATAAGAAAAATGTAAATGTCTCATCCAGTAGCGAAGAGAATTCTACTAATACTGATCCAAATAATTTAAATTGTATACCACAATCAAATAAACAATTGTCAACAGAAAATTGGCTTCTAAATATTTCAAATTCTTCACCCAGCGACCAGCTTGATGATAGTTCTATTAGTTTATCTGATGTTGAGTCAGACTGTGGTATGGTTGATGGTTGTAGTGTTAAAAGAAGTAAGGAATTACAAAAGCTTAATCAGTCAGTAAGCAATTCAATTTTTGAAATTGATAGGCTTATTGAAACAACATATAACGTGAGGGATACGTTTAATAAATCGGAATTGGGTAACTTGTTGCTTAATGAGGATAAAGAGCTAAATGTGCAAAAATTGCATAGCAGAGGAACCCATTCAACAAGTACGAGCGAATCTAAGTCTCTTTTGACAGGAAGAAATTTAAGAAGAAGCAGTCGAATAAGTGCATGTAGTGGATCAAAGAGCAGTAATGCAACAGAACAATTATCTTCCTTAAGATTATCGACTGACACTCAACAAAAAGGAAAATCTAATACTACTAACTTAGAAAACAGTAATAAGGCAGGAAGTTCTGAAGGAAAAGGTGATAATCGAATTAGTAATGTAAGCAGTACTATGTCATCTCTACGTATTTCGTCAGCTACTTCCAATTCAAAAAATGATTACTCAATAAGTAGAACTTGTAAGGAGTTAGAATCAGAGAAAAGTAGCGAAAAATTGAAAAGATCAAGAAATAATCGGAAAGTAATAAATTTAACTTTGAATGAAAAAAAATTGCATGAAATGAATGAATCAAGAAACGTCAATGTAAAATCCAAGAAAAATTCTTCATTTAAAAGCTCAATTTTAAACTCGGATATAAATTTAACATCGAAGAAAACTTGCAATGTTCAAACTAATTCTTCAAATAAAGCAGAAACTCAATTGAATAATATTAAAAATCCCACAAATCAATTATTTAATGAGACAGAAAGCAGCAGTGATCTCAGTTTCACAAACACAATGAGCCAAAACAAAAAGAAACGAAGAAAGTTATTTAATCCTGATGAGTTTTTATTGAAAGAAGGAAATGCAGAGAACGAAGACGTCCTAAAAAGGCGAAGAACTTTAGACAAAGTTCTAGAAGTTAAACAGCCTACAGTCTCGTTTAATTCAACAGTTTTGATGGAAAATATTAACAAAAATAAAGTGAACGTAATAAGTTCACAAGGAGATGAAAACCAAACCAAAAAGAAGTTAGGTATATCAAAAACAAAAAGTAATGAGTGTCAAGAAAATATTTTGCCAATTAAGAGAAAGAACCTGGATAAAAAAGATTCTCATAGTCCAAAAAGTGAGACAGATTCTTCCCCCATGAAGCACCCAAACCAAACAAAAGAAAAGCTAATAAGAGACCTTGCGAGACGTTCACTGAGAATACAAACAAAGAAATTAACACAAAAAGGATCCGTAGCAACACCACAAGATTCGAAGAGAAGAAGCAGCTACGATTTTGTTCCGAAAGGAAAGACTTTAAGTCAGATTAAAGTTAAAAAGTTAATCAAAAATAAAAAATCGTCAATAGTTTGTACAAGGCTTCATAGTCCTGACGTGCAAACCTTTATGCAGATTGTTAAGAAATTGGGAACTTTTTATACTGAAGATGAAGTTAGTGAAAAAACGACACATTTGGTGGCAGGAGAACCTCGACGAACTATCAACATTTTAAGAGCACTTGCCAGAGGATGCTGGATTTTAAAGATTGAATGGGTAAATAATAACAATTATTTTGTTTATACAGAATATTAATATTTTTTTTAGTTGTATAAATCTCTCGAAGTTGGGCGATGGGTTGAGGAGGAAGACTACGAATTAACGGAATTCTCCCCTGCCGTGCAGGTAGGTAACATTTGATTGATATATTTTATGATCGTCCTCTCTAATAATATTTTATTTTTCAGCAGTGTAGACAACAAAGACAGGCATTTGGTTCTTTATATTCAATGGATATTTTTCAAAACATAGGCCCTATATTTGTTTCAAATGCTTCAGTTCCTCGACGTTCTGATTTGGAGGAACTAATAGTCCTATGCAAAGGAACTATTACCAAGACCATGAGTTCAGCTTCTGTAATTGTAGCAGAAATAACTAATATGAAACAAAAAGTTTGTGTTTCTGAAAAGTGGATTTTAGATTCAGTTATGTACAATACAAAGAAACCATTTAAAAACTATCTTCTGAAGTTAAATATAAGGGAGAGCCAAGAATTTTAATTACGCATAGAAAATACGTTGTTCTTGCCTAGTCTTTATATGTATTAGGTTTTTTATGTTTTAGTTATATATGCCATCTGAGTAGTTGTTCTTAAAATTGTATTTTCATTAAATTTTTTTTCGTAATATTTTTGTCGATTTAATTTTCTACTTTGCTCTTATTTCCTTTTTTCATTTTTAATAACGTATATTACATATAATGTAATACAACATGCCCAGGAATGGGATATGTGTGTGAGATCGCAACTTAACAATATTACAAAATAAAAGACACACAACTACAGAAATACTGTGGTAAAACACTTTATGGTTATTTATGAATGCATGGGTATTGGTCAACCACGTATAGTTTATGTATTTTTATATTGTTAAGCAAATGTGCCTGGTGAATACATTTTCAGAAAGGTTTTAGTAAGTTTTTGGTGATACAAAAGTACATTTCCAAGCTTTCCAGAAAATTGTAAGGCAATTATTCCTTTCATTTTGTAAATACAAAGTATTTTCTGTGTTCATTCAATATGACTCCAACATTAGGCTTCAAAAGATAGATATATTTTTATATACTATTGAAATAAAATGCTATTGTTGTTTATAATTTGTTTTTTTAATTGTAACAACTTGTTTTGTTAAAAGTACATAAAATAAAAGTCAAAAATGAAAGTTATTTAAATGGCTAAATACTATATAGTTCTTGCACCCAAATGAGTGAATTTAACTAAAATACTGATATATCAATTCAAATAAGGGAGTAAGTCCCCCAGCTTTTCAAGATATACGTCAGGTACAAGATCTCGTTCTTCCTGTTTTTTTGACTGCTTCCATTGTGTTACCTCTTTGAAAGTTGTTATTCCACTTAAAACTAACATTGTTTGAAAGCCACATCTTGTTCCTAATAAAATATCTGTGTTGCACCTGCAGTTGTAAATTTGAGTTATTGGTCATGTACAGTATTTTTGATGATTTTATGGGTTATTCAAATTTTGTAGTCTATTAGATGTTTTAATTGTGAGAAAAATAGCACTTGTGTCTGTGTCTTATATGCCGTATAAGTGAAAGTGGGTTATTTATAAAATTATTTTGTATTCATAGAACATATGAAAAGGATGACCAAGCTTCAATAACTCTCTATAAAAATTTTACCTGTCGCCAATCATTAATGTTCTTTTAGGATCCACTCCGTATTCATTTTTAATGAAGTCTGCTATATATGATTCAGGTTTTCCTACAATAAAGGGTTCCCTCTGAGCAGCAGTTTTAACAGCAATTAGAATAGTACCAGTTCCAGGAACTATATAATCATAACGATTTGGATACTGCTCATCAGAATTAGTACCCACAAAAAGAACATTTGGATTACTTAGATAAGTAGCAGCTTTAAACATCTTAACATAACTGAAGTGTNTCACACATTATTAAGGTTTTCGAAATAAATAGTTTTATTATGTATATATAACTGTTTCAAAAATCTATAATCAATAGGTAACATAAGTTGAGATAAATCGATAAATGGTTAATTAGCATTTTAAACAGTGACTTACCAGTTATGAGACTTTGTTTTTTGTTAGAATCCTTTGGAGGAGTTCCATCGACTATCATACTCTCTACGGCACTATTTTCCTCTTTTTTCTCAAATTCACCGTCAACTTTCGGTGTACTGAGAGTTTGAGGATAAAGAGTGGAAGTGTCATAAACTTCTTCTATTTTCTTCCGGGGCTTTTCAAGATCAGGTGCGCTGCTACTATTAACGACCGTCCATTCATAACGGCCCTTTGTTTTGAGAGGTCTTTCGTTCACGAAATCGAACTCCCATTTTTCACTTTCGTTCACGGATTGTTTGGACAATTCCTGTTCCAAAAACTTTTGCGTCTCTTCGTGATCGATTGGTTCGAAAAGGGCGCGTCTTACTTTCACAACATCTTTGCACGGAAATCGTCTACTGTTATCACTTGGCGAACTTCGCATGTGAGACATTTCAATTAAACAGATCGGCTTGAATACTCTGGCACTCATTTTTCGCTTGTTTACGTTTCGAGGGATGGATAGGCAACTGTGTAAACAAACGAATACTCGCAAACAAGGCGTGGAATATACCGTATACCCACGCTACTACTACTACGCAACAACGAGTTAATTATTTTCGCTCCAAAGTCTCGGCACTAATAGTTACTGATAATAAAATGATATTTGAAAGTTCGTAGTGACAAAATCCAGATTTTGGGTAGTGTAATTATCTCCGAAAATGTAAAATATAATGTTTTTCACTATTTTCATAATAACACGAGACGATGGCGCGCGCACCCTCCTAGGACTAACGTACGTACGCGACTGTCGTTGCCAAGCGACAGAGAAAGGCGCGAGAGGAGCGTCCATTTGGTTGGGTCATACCAATGGTAGGGGCGGCCGGCCAATTCAAATTTGCCTTACTTAATTATTAGCGTTTAACATGTTATTCTATTTTATTCAAAATGTAAAAATATCATGTTATCGTTAATAAGCAAAAACAGTAAAAACTGCTAAATTTTACTTAATAATATTTGCTTTTTACTTCGTTTACACCTATTTCTAATGAGATATATTGGAATAAATGTATCTAAATATGTATACAATATACTATATGTTTAAAATAATTAAGTACGTACTATGTTACTATCTTATTAATTGTTAATGCAAACTGTTCTAATATTTTAACAGTTATCTTCAAAGTCTGCATTCAGTATTTATTTCTAATACTCATCGTCAGTTATATTATACTTTTTACGATTAGCGTTATAGCTGATATGTGTTTAATTTTATATATTATATATTTTTTATAATACATCTACTCATTTAGTAGGGGTTTTATAGAGAAATATGTAGATAATAATAAATAACGACATAGATTATTATTGTTAACATAGTGCCTATTGAATGTTAGTCAGTTGGCACTTGGCGAAATATGTTGAAATATAAAATTCAGAAACTGAAGAAAAACCACTTGGTACATTAGTTTCACAATGAATTCATTAAAAATCTCTAAGAATCATTTCGGCGATTAAGCCACTTTGATAGTAGATACATACTTTTTGAAAATGGTTTAATTGCCGAAACAACTGCCAGAATTTTTTAATAAATTTATTGTGAAACTAATATACCAAGTGCAACATACTTGAAGCTTCAAAAGATAATTACACTAGGTAGATGAAAGGTTTTATAATGGTAAGGATTGCAATCAGGTATTCACTTAAAAATTAATTTTAAAAAAACCTTTCGAAAGTAAGCAGTTTCACGTGCGAAACCGTTAGTTTATAAAGGA